TGTTCATAAAGACACTTCTACTAAACAGAAGCAACTCACACAGACACTCATGCCCTCTTCACTATTTCCTACTCAATAAGAATTAAGAGTATCCACACCTGGAGCTATCACAGAATAACTAGTGTCTGTACATCTCAGTTTACACAAATGGCAAGAGTTTCCTTTTGTACACAGGCTTAGGGGATGCAACTGTTGTCTTTTGCCTTTTCACAAGTAAAAACAGGAAGAAGACAGGAATTTGTTCAGTTTTCCAGCTATCCCACCACTTGCAGTCATTGGAGAGGGCAGCTAAAGACTCGGTCCACAGAACACCCATGGCTTTTGATCCAGTGTCTGTTCATTTCTATCCTCTGGTCTTATAACTAGAGCAGAGAATAAGTTTTGATCACAGTGCCTCAGAATCGAAACAAAATGGAAAGACAACAGTGGTTATTGAACCAAAATACACAGTCACAGCCACTCAGTCAAGTGAAGACTGAGTTTTTAGTAGATGGGAGCTTATTTCAGCCTGAGAAGTTGCATTAGGTCTAACTGAAGACGTGGAGCAAACCAATACTAAGATTCAGAGTTCAGTGTGAAATACGGGTCCGTGACCTAAGATGAGATTGAATGGCCGTTGTAACACTTAATGAGAAATCCCTTTTGTGTTTCAGCTTTTTTATTTGGTCTCATCTATTTTATTACCTTTTAATTTGTGAAAGGCTTGACAAGTAGAAGTAATTTTATCAGAGGCCAATAAAACCCATTTATGATACCATAATGCATGTTTACCTGTCCTAATAGAAAAGCATTTAGCCTGGCAACAGAAGACATGCATTTATGTCTTCGTAAGCATCTTGCTAAAACATCTCTCTGAATATTCAAAAGGAAAAAAATTCTTAAATGTGAAGAACTTGCCAAAACTGAGGTGGAAAATAAAGATTTTAGTTTCTCTCACAGTTTGTAATAGTTATGCAGTCTAAAGTTCATTGTTCTCATTGCCAGACAACACTATATAAACAACTATGAAGAATCCTGTAGAAGTCTTCTCAGAAAGCAACAATGGCAAATACATTTCTTGTATCCTGTTCACCACAGTGAAGCATGAGCATTAAACCCTACCCTGGATTATTTTTATACCAACATTACAACTGAGGATTTTCTTATCTTTCCTATATCCTCTTTTTTTACAAAGAAAATACTTAAGCAAAATGCTATGTAATCTTAAGATTGTATCTAAACAAAACAAGAAGTAACAAGAGTCACTCTGGGTAGTCAATACAGCCACATGGCAGAACCCATATAGTTCAAATACATCTTTTCTCCTAGGAAAAGTTCTAGCAAGAAAAAAGCTAGGATTAGAAAGTAGCATATTAATGCTACTCAGCTAAGTTATACAAGCATTCCAACGCAAATTTATTAGCTTAAAAAAGCAATCAAACTTCATAGTTGGGCAGATGTGCCTTCCTTTCAATACAAAAGGACAAAACATTTATAAAAAAGGCAAGACCAATACCAGCTCATGCTGGTATTGTATAACTCCTTATAGACATTTAAATTTTTGGTGGAAAGACTTGCATTATTTCCCAAACCTACTGTTTCACAGAAGCTTCATATACACCACTATCTCCAGCTACAGACTCATCAGACACGGCAGCAGATACACACGCTGTTTTCTCCTCAAGCAGGTGACTAGCTGTTCTTCGTGGTAAGTCACCTACATAAAGAAGTAAAAAAAATCAGTCCAAGAGATTAATAGTCAGAAAGAGAGAAGCGCATAGCTTAGAAAGTTGTCAAGTTGAAAGCGGTGACCCTTAACTCAGTATCACAGAGTAGTTTCGTTCTACATCATTAAACATTCTGAGACTGTACTGCTGTTATCACATATTCTGGCTAGGGATATAACCAAAGTGATGAACTTGAAAATGTACAACTATTATTCCTTCCCAGAGATACAGGCTCCTATCATCACCCATATCTATTGAGCTAGTTATTATCCTTCAGTATCTTCATTATTAACCCTCATTATTCTGATCTTTAAAGCTGTATTTGCCATGTTCACATTCTGCACTTAGTAACACTTCAGCTACATGCAAAGTGATTGCCTACTGTTTATTAAATATTCAGCAGTCAGATGCCCTTTCCTTGGCAATGTAACTGCTACAAATTAAAAATCTCTGGTTTGCTGTCATCGAAAACTTTATGCTATGGTCTCTTTACTATCAGCTACTCCTTAGCTTTAATCTTCAGCTTGCATTTATACGCTAGCGTCATGCAGTGAAGCAGCAGCATTCCCAGAAAGCCACATTCTGCAGCACAGTAAGTTGAGGGGCTATGCAGTACTTTTATCTGCCAAGGGGTGAGGATATTGGTGTGCATTATCATCCCCACCTGAATCGTGACTTTACATCTTGTTAAGTGTTTAAAATTTAAGGCTTCAGATTAGATGATTGATTGTTACATTTGTGCTTTTATTTATGGCAGGAGGAATGCTTTTTCCTTGATGATGAAGTGCTCTCTCCCTTCTCCCCCACCACGTGAGAGGTGAAGGTGATGACATGATTTATTGATTACCCTTAGGAATGATCACATCAGCCTGAATTGACTTTGACAATGACAGAGACTGACTGTGGAAGAACTACATGATATTCCAACTTGGTTTCTGACAGCTGGGACATGTGCAGAGGAGAAAATATCTGTATGGTTCACCTGTACAGAGATGTCAGAGACAGACAGAGGAGCAGGTGAGCACTACATCTAAAGAGCCAATGCTGATTATTACATGAATTAAATACTAGCTGTACTGTCTTTGGGTATGCTTGTCTGCCTGCAAGTTGAGATTCAGCAGTATTCAGATTTGTAGTCTTGTAGAACTTAAGTGTGTGGGCAGTAATTTTCCATGCAGGTTTTATGCCTCCAGCTGAGTTTGTTGAAAACCTTCCCCATCAGCATTGCAGCAGTTCCAAGAATGAAACTGGAATAGAAATGGCAAACCAACCCCAGGTCTATGTCTCATGCTAATGTACTGAAAACTCACCACGAGACCCATTTTACTGTGGAAACTTGAGGTACTGAAGCATAATTAATTAATATCTGGCTTTTCAAAATTTGAGTGCTTGTTTTGGTAATCAATACAGGTTTAAAGATAATTTGTATCTTAAGTATGACCCTACATGAGGAAATATCAGTATGAAGAATCACAGGAAAAATTTGTATTTTAAAACCTTAACTAGTTATAGATTTAAAAGATAACCTGACACTATCCAGAGTAACAGGTCCTCAAAAAAGCTCAAAAATGTTAGACAACCACATGATGCCTTTGAAAATAATGATCTAAAGAAATAAATTTTAAAAATAATTTTAATTCCTCATAGCCCTATCTGTTCACAAATTCCAAACCATCTTAAATTAAGTTTTCAGACTAGATGAATTGCAGCCAGATTGCAAAGACAGACAGTCCAAAAGGTGTTGTTAATTTGGAAAGGATATGCTCCTGAAATATGGGCAGGAAAATTAATTATTTTTTCCACCTTTTATGATATGGCTACAAAGGAAAATAATTGTGTTCCACTATACTGAAAAGACAAAGGACAAAATGACCCCCTCCCCCCAAATCCCTTTCCGTGTTTTTCCACTTTGTATTTTAGAGGTTCAGACCATTAGGACATTACTCCATTTCTTTTTTCTTTCTGCACAGTTGACCAGAGGGGGTCTCCCAACTTGTACTATGTATATCATACATTTCTATTCTGGTGCCACATTGCTCTGGTCAATACAGTGCTGCAGTAAACTAATCTAATTAACCAACAACAGATGTTACAAAAAATCCTTGAGATATAAAAAAATAAAAGCAAATTTCTCATTAAAATACATGCCTGTATCAATATGTCCAGGTACTTTTATTAAAAATTGGCAAACTCCAGGCACAAGGGTTCAAGCTTGGCAACAAACCTGGACAATGCACTCTCCAGGGCTAAGCTGTAGATATTCTCAGACACCCAAACTCCTTAGTTAGCTGCTTCACTATCAACTCAGGCCCAGAAATGGGGAGCTGGGAATGTTAGGTGCTGCTCAGGTTTCAAATAGGATTGCCAGTGCTCAGCACTAGTGGGAATCTGGTTCCCTCAGTTCTTCCTTAGGAAAACAGAGCCACTGTGTAAAGTAAACACACAAATGGTTTGCAAGATACTTAAAGGCTATGACACAGAATGACACAAGAAAAAGTCAATAATTGTGCAGAGAAAGCACAACATACTGTCAACCCTAACAAAAGGCAGCAAAATCAATGCTCTAAGACTGAGGACAAGCCATCAGTTCTTGACAGCTGGGATTTTTGGAGTCCTGACTCTGCCAAAGGCTTTGACAATATAAGATGACTAAGTATGTTGCATGGCTTTTACTGAAGACTAGTAGCAGGGGAATTTGTTACACCTGGTTCAGCCATCTCAAAAGTTAACCATAACTAGTTACCAAGGATACCTCAATAACTCACAAGGTCATTCTTCCCACCTTCCTTAAATGGAAAAATGTTTTAGGATGAGATGACTCATCCTTTTGGAAGTTACTCACTGACTGCAGGAGAAGCCTAGACTAGCTTAGGAGCTCTAACAGAGGGATAAAATGGAAAAACTATGTTAAATGGAAAACCATGTTAAAAATGGGCAGAGTCTCACTGTAACTTACATGGCTTGTGGTCACTTGTTTTTCTCAACTCACATAAAAAATGAACTGCCGATCTTTCTGTGACAGCAGGTTCAAATAACGAGATATTCATACACATGTAATAATTCTAAGTCAAAAAAGCTCCTTTACTGAGGATGTCAGCTTGTAACTTGCTCTTCAGTGAGAAACAAAGTATCTGATTTCAGGTTACCAAAAAACAGTAGAGGGTATTTTTGCTCTATCCCCATACATCCTGACAATATCTAGGAACATCAAGGAACACTGTGCATCCTCCATGACTTTGAGATCCATCTTCAGGTTTTTCTGTTATTTTTTCAAGAGAATCTGCAGTATATGAACTTTCCTTCTGAGATAGCTATTGAAAAATGTAGATGGAATGAGGGTGATCACAGCTCTCTGCACCCAAATCTAAAAGTTACATAATGCCCCTCAGAATTACTGACTGCCCACCATGGCAAATGTATGCTGATCAAGATACTCTTCAGTTATGTGAGGTACCTCCTCAGGCAAGAGCCAGCTGTTAGTTCAAAATTTTAATGTAACATATATGTTTTACATTAGATTTTTTTATTACCTGAACTTCCTTCATGTGGAGAAGGCAGAGGCTGCCTAATGCCTTCATTAAGATCTTTATCTTCTGTAGGAATCTGAGATCCTGCTCTGACTTCAGAGTCCAATAACATTTGTTTCTCACAGAGACTAATGCCTGCAAAATCACCTGAAAGGTCACAGTCTTCAAAGTCCGTAGTGAGGTGATGCAGGGGGGAATTCTGAGCTGACACTGAAAATGCAGCTTCTAAAACCAAAGGGGAGCCTGGGGGGGACAAAGAGGACAGTGAGGATCTGGAAGACAGCGATGTCACAGATTTGGGAGGTTCAGTCAATTTGGGATGGTCTGCAGCTGAAGGAGAGTCACTGTAACCCGGTCTCCCATGGGAACTGACCACTTCATTTTCATGAATAGTAGTGATAGGCCCTGAAGGAATGTAACCACTTTTTTCTTGCAATATGAAGTCAAGTTTATACTGATAGTCCAGATTTGTTATTTGATCGCCTTGGTTATAGTAGAGATCCGTGGAGCTGAGAGAGTTTAGTGACCCTCTGCTTGACGTGTTCAGAGATCCTCGGCTGGATGCCAGAGATCCCAAACTGCTCCCTGAAGACACAGATAGTGTACTAGCTGAGAGGCTGCAAAGAAAGCACAAACATGTAAACTGATGTTACTAAACTAAAGCAGCACAAAACAGTACAAGGAGAGGTAAGATTGGGAGCAGCATTGTAACAATCTACAACTGAATGCTGCTTGGGGCATTATATATTTTAAGCACCCATACTTGGCTTAGATCAGTGTGCCCAACCTGCACACCACCAGCACAATTTATCCAGCTCATGGCCTGTTGCCAAAGCCCCTTTTCTTCTGGAGAAGGCTGCAGATTCGACAAACGGGTCCAGTAGTAACAGGAGCCCTCTCAGCTGCTGTATCGCCTCAAAGGACCTGCTCCACTCTGATGTGGGCACTCGTGGGGTCAAAGTGACAGGAAGGGGAACCCCGGGAAGTAGGTTATGGCAGCAGCAGAGTGCTGCCACCTCTAAAGCAATTTATGCAGCCTGCCCTCTGCCCAAGCACCTGCGATAGATGGCAGATAGAAGCAGATGACTTACAGCAGAACTGCTTTGCATCTGTAAGACAACACACCCTCTACATGCACAGTAAATCCAACTACATAAGCATGGCAAAGGCGATAACATGCAATCTTTTCCTGTTAAGAACAGAAGATAAGGAGCCCTGCCAGGCCAGAGAAACTGCGTGTCACTGCCTTGGCTCAGGAGGACTCTGCTGGGAAAAAATGTCAGGAAAAATAATTCAAAGCAGCCTCTTCTAAACACTTAAGATATGTTCACTGAACAATAACAAAGCTATCATCCTTTAAAATTTTCCCACTGGACTAGAAAACTGCCTTTATCAGGATAAAAAGACCCACAAGTCCAAACAAACAAGAGCACAAAATTAAAAAAAAATATTTAAAGAAGCTTTCCCTAACTAATCACCAATCAATATGGAATCTATGGGATCTGACTCAGATGTTTGAAATGGCTAAGCCAGCCTAGATCCCAGGAGTACGATGGCATGCCTTATTGCGAGAGGACCTTTACAGAACACTTAAAAATATTTTTCGTCTTAAAGCTCCATTTTCATTTCTAAGAGAATTGGTAAATGCCGTGTCTGATTGGTTTGTCCCACTGTAATATGGAAGGAGTTTGACCAAATTCATGATTTTCTAAATAAATATAATGGACACATGGTTTGGAAGACCAGGAGACAGCCCAGAAGTGAGAAACTCTTCCCTAGGAACAGTTACATGTATCATTAAACATCAGAATTCCCATAAGAGCAGTAAGTTTGACTTCACAGTTGCTGTAACTGATTACCTTTTTGTTATTACTGTAAATTTCATAAACCCAGAGCCAGATTTTGAATCAATGACTATCAGGAAAAAATATCCTGCTGAGGGTACTTCTCTGTCTACAGAAAGTGTAAGTCGGTGTTGAAGAGTAAAACCAGAATCAACTATTCACATATGTATTTACATGCACACGTACTCATTGAGCCTCTCCAGTTATACAGAATAAAGGCTACAGGTCTAACAACTAATTTTAGACAGAACTCTGAGAAACCATTTGGTCTCCTCACTAACAGCATTTTGGAGATATGACCAAATAAAGAGTTCCAGATTTATTTATTTATTTATTTATGCAGAAGCAAAATAATGTCTCCCTGCTTAATTACAGAAGCTGCACAAAAAAATCCATTCAATCAAGTCTTGAGTGCTCACTGAAATTACAAAGGTACACCAGGTTTGTATGGTGGCAAAAGCCTGAAGCCATTAGACTTGCATTTTCTTACTTAAATATTACACAAATTTTGTTCAGCTTCCAGCTAAGAGAAAAACCTAAGAATGAAGTTCAGACATCCAGGTCCACTAGACTGTTGCTGAAAACAGGCTTTACATTAAGCAGTACAGTCTCACCTCCTAAGCTGTGAATGCAAATAAGTAGTTAACTTCGTAGTTTCTTCAAGTTTCTGTACCAACTCTTTTCTTCTCTCCTCCAATTTCAATCTGAAAGAGAGGAACGTTAAGTATAGGAAAGCACTACAAAATAATCTAGAAACTAAAATACCTGACAGATAAGACAGAAGCAAAGTGAAGATCCCTCATCCCTCATGTTTTCATCTGGTTGTCAACTACTAAAATCCAAGAGAGTGTGTTAGCTCTCAGTCCTACCATAAAACCCTAACCACTTCAGCAGAGTGACTTTACCTGCAGAATACTAAGCACTATAACAAGCCTGCTGAATGTGCAAGCAAGCAGAGTGTTGATAGATTCACACTGTACCAAGGGGAACGTGCACCCAATAAAAGAGTAACAGACTGAGCACTGGAAAAGCAGCTGCAACTTCAGGAAACCAAGATCTGCACTAATACACTTTTAAAAAGCCATGCTGTAGGCTGGCTCCTCACTTAACAGTTTAAGGGGAAAAAAAAAAGAGAACACTTATTATTAGTTCTGATAATTCAAGAATTTCAGATAGCACTGCAGGAAGTCTAAAATTAAAGCACTCCCTTTGATTTCAGAGTCGTCATTTAGAGAAAAAGCACAGTAAATTGAAACAGCATTCAAGTGCACAGTTCTGAGATGATGGACTGTATTTAGGAGTCCTTGGTGAAGATTTCTCCATCCTCAACAGCTCTCTCATCACCTCTGAGCCATACAGCATTGCAGTGCTCATTATCAAGGTTCACCTTTATGAAAAAGCAGGATTTATTTCCCCCTGCACTGTTATCCAGCCTAGCTCTAAAACCAGAAATGGTAGAACTCTCCCATTCCTTTTGGCTGGCTGCTAGCAGAAAGGATTCACTAACCTTTACAGTGATTTTTCTTCTTATGGTTCCCTTTTACCACTCCATTTTCAACTCCAAACAAATTGTTTTCCCTCAGTGGATTCAGCTAAAACCCTCCTGTAGCTGCAGATTAGTATAGTCCCCTCTAGCCCTTGCTCAGTCAACTGACACATGTCACAAGTTCTCAAGCAACAAATCTGAGGGACAAGAAATGACCTCCTCTTCTTTAAAAAAAGTTTGATGTTCATTCTCAGAAACATTTCCTTTGGCCTTTCTGGCATCTCAAGGCTGTATAAATTAAAATTCAAATGCAGAGAACACTTGGAAGAACAAAAACCAAAAACCAACCATTGCTTTCTTATGCAAACTAAATGAAATACTCAAGAGTTCCCAGAATTCACTCTCTTTGAATGTCAGATACCAGTAAAAAGACATTAAGTCCTCAGTTCAACAAAGCATGAAAAGCACTTGCTTACACCCATGCTTATTCAGTGAGTAAATCTGGGTTATGCAAAGGTGAATAAGTTACTCCGAGGTCAGCCAGGGTGTGAACTTCCACTCCACTGCCTACGCTGTGTGTGCTCTTACACCACAATAATGTGTTCATCTGCCAGTACCTGCCGAGACTGTTAAAAGCGTACACGGCATTTCATTCTTTGCCCAGGAAGACAGACACACGAGTTTCTGAACCAATAATTACGTTCATCTATGGTATCAGACGCTCTTTCTTACCATTTTATTATTTATTAATGCCTTCTGCCTTCTTTTAAAGCCTAGTCTATCCTGCTTTTCCTAACCAAGAGTGCTCTTCACTAACTCTTTTGTGGCTTTTCAATAGTGAACTATCATTTTACCCTCAAGGAAGAGGCACAAAAATTACTGTACGTGTTCAACTACCAACGGCAAAAGGCAAGAAAGGAAAATAAAAGCTTAGGAACTTCTCTGACTAGAGTCCTCAAAACAGACACTTATAGCTGTTCCACTGAATTTGTACTATTAAACTAAAGGGTTTGTTTGGGTCTTTTCTCCAAAGCACAAGTTTGTTTTCCTTTATTATCTTAGGGAGGTTGATGAAATGTAATTTATCCTATATAATTTAGCTCCTGAAAAAAAATTATTTCCTGGATGTAATTTGACCTATTTGTGATTTTAAAAGTAGTAGGTAAATTTCAGAAAGATGTTAGCACAAGTCACAAACACAAGCTAGAAGTCACTCCTGGAAGTTCCAAGACACACAGGAAATAATTTTACTATCTCACAACAACCTGAGATTCAAGGAATTTTTTTCATTCCACATTAGGCCAAATTAAAAAATAAAACAAAACAAACCAAAAAGCCACCAAAACTTTCAAGCAATGAACGTTCCTTCTTTATAGCATGAGCAGGAACTTTAATATCCCACCCTGTAAACACCTAAACAACCACTGCGTTACCTGTTCTGACATGGGTCTCCCGCGATCTCTCCTGTTTGCACGCTTCCTATTTAAAGTAACCTACTACTCATTGCAGGAGCAACTTGAGTGTTAGTGAGACATCTTTCTCCAGTTTTGATCTTAAATTGTAGCATTGCTGAGAGGGGCATAGAATCTTAAAAACATACATTAAAAAGTTAAAATGCAGATACCTCCCCTTTCCGTGCAAACTTATGTGGACATATTTGTTCATGACGGACACAAGAGCAGGGACCAGTTTTGCGGGCAACAGCACAATCAAGTAGTCTATGCATCTGTTTAAACGCCTGTGATTACTTAGAAGATTTTGCCAAGGACTAAAGCAGCAATGGAACCTCCCTGACATGAACACTGAGGCAAGAGTAGCAAATAGGTCTCAACAGTTCCACAATCCAGATATTTCTTGCAATATGAGGCTTCTTAAAGCAGTCAGAGTGTGTCCTGTCTCTGCTTTTGTGAAGCTGATATGATTTATATCCTCCTTCTGTAAATTGATTCTGAGTACATCTACTAGTGGCTATTTCAGCATCCTACTCCAAAATAACCCAGGGCTATGCTATAATGTTTTTGTTTCAAGTCGGAGTAAGTCTTCTGTGTCTTTCCCCTTAGAAAAAACTTTAAAAAACCCCAAACAAAAAAACCAACAAAATTCAAAACCAAACCAAAAAATCCTTCTCACATCAAGCTCTGACACAATCCATAGCTTCTTCCACTGTTGGTTCATTATCAGTGCCCATGAAAACACTGGAAACCTAAGGCATTCATGAAACTTCAAGAAAGAAAATAGTAATGCAACAACAGTGCAGCACTTTGAAGATGGTGTGGCTCCTCCACTGACAATAGAAAGAAGAATCTTTCTCATCCCCAACAAATAAAATGCTGATGGTTGATCTGATACAATTTAATGTAACTTTTTATCAAATAAACATTTAAGGAAAAGTTTCACCATCTGAATCCTACAAATTGAAGATTTTCTTTATGTTTATAGCAGACACACCAGAAATAATCCTCAAAATAGCCTGGTGTGAAAGAGTTGATGTGCTCTGAAGTCATAAAGTTTTAATATCATAAACAGTTGCCAGTAGAAATTCGCTCCAGATACACTGAAATAGCTAAAAAGCAAGCCAGAAGTCACCATAAATGCTACCTCCACCAGCAATGTATGACATGAAATCTTACAGTAACCTCAGAAAAAAATTTCCACATTTTCAGGAATGAAAAATCAAAAGGAGAAAAATTTGAATAAAATAGATGGGAAAAAGTTTAAGCTCTAACAACTGGTTGTATCAATATACATGGAAAAAATCTGCCATTCCATTTTTTCTTGACAGTGGGAGACAATTTTACTTGCCCTTGGTACTCCAAGTTTGGCATCTGATATGTATGGGAAAACAGGTGCGGAACAATCTTTGGCACTTAACAAGCAAATCCAAACACAAGAAACCAGCTACCTATGAGTCAAGATTTATATATTAGTTACACGAGGGTATTATCAAAATCTTAGATTCAAATTATTAATTTGTGAATGTGTTTTTATTATTGACCCCTTATTCTCAATTTATTAATGGAAGACAGAAAGCAACAGATTCATAATAATTTACATACTACTAACACAGACAGGTAATTTCTCCTGCAAAAGTTCCAGTAGGACACAACGCTTCTTCTGAAACACATTTGGATTATCAATATAATGCAGTTTAAGCTATCATAAAATGTACAAATATGTTTAAAAATCATGCCCAATACACACACATGTCCTTTGTAAGCAAAAAAAAGTCCTCACTACTCAGCTACAATTTAAGACCAGCTTCTAATGCCATTAACAGGAATTCCGCCATTCAGTGAAACTGGAGCAACAGCAGGTGTTTCCTAGCAGAGGGAAGTAGGAAAGGCTTACTTACAATGCTGATTGTTTTACTTCAATAAGCCACACTACACTGTACACCCAATGACATCTTGTGTTTATTGCATTTTATGTGTGCTAGAGGTGCCCATAAATTTATTTCCACTTGCAGTTGATGGAAGGTCCATTTGTGACAGTCACCTTTGATTTTCTCGAACTTTGAATCTAGATAAAACAATTTATTGTGGGAGTTGCTTCACTTACCAGTTAGGTAGCAGCAAGTTAGGAAAGTTTTGCAGTAATTATACTCCTCCTCTAAACTTCCCCCCTCCACACACCTTTTGGCTGCATTTTTGTATGTAATAAAACTTACAATGAAAAGCCTTCAGATGTTGCAACAATCAAGATAATCTTTGTAACCTGAGTTCAAATAGTTTACAGCTATTATCAGAAACGAGTGAATGATGTATTGCCTTCCTGCTGGTATGTTGACATTCCTCAGTTATTTAACATCTGTCACAGGCATTTTCATGCTGGTAACAAACGCAGAGCAACTGATATTGCAGAGCACATACAGGGTGTTCACATTCTCTCACAGTACAGAAGACTTCTTTGTGTTTCTGCCCAGTGGGCTAATAACGAATTTAATTAAGATCTACATAGAACAGTTACTGAAGGAAAACAGCCCATCAAGGCATAGTTCAGGGTCTGTCATGAGTACAAAGGTTAGACTGCAGAAAGCAGTGTTTAGTATTAGCAAAAGACAACCCCTTACCTTTCTGCAAGTGCTTGACTGGGTGTGCTTTTTACAGACAGCAGCTCTTCTTCAAGCCTCTTCCTTTCTGCTTCTAGCTGCTCTAGCTCATCTTGAGTACGTTTGCGTGGTGTAATAAACTGGAGTTCCTTTAAAAGCTCTTCTTTTTCACTGATTAACATCAGTTTTTCCTTTTCCACATCCAGTGCCCCAGGCCAGGCCTCACTATCTAGCTTGGACAGTTCGATTTTCAAGTTAGCCACGCTAAAATAAAACACAGCAGATTTGTCTGAGCCCAGTATAGCACACGAATCCCAGCAAAGAGAGAAGTGATTCAATAGTTTGAAAGGTATCAGGATATAACAACATTTTCTACCCAAAGCCATACTTTTAATTAGTTTTGCTTCCCAAGAATGCAGACTGTGCCAGAAAAGCCACCTATTCAGGCTGACAGCAATATGCACATGCATTAAAAATGACTTGCTCCTGCTCAAATGCCAAGTTGAAGTAAAAGCCACAACTTTAATAAAAGCTTTACTGAAACTGATCTGTCTGGTACCGTAATAGTGGCACTATGCTTTACTCATCTAGGAGTATGATGGATTTCTCCTAAGCTGTTGGAGGCTGACTGCTCCTCATAAACAGCAACAACCATGGGCAAAGAACACACACATCATAGCAAGGTGCTCAGCAGCATGCGTGTCAGCAAATATTAGAAGACAAAAACATTGTTCTTCTATGGGGTTAAAAGAAAAGGTTAACCGGACAGCAGCCACCTAAAGAGAAAGAAGATTATTAACTCAAAAGTTTGACTTTGTGCAACTGCTGTTCCCATTGCAGAAGTCAAATCACAGAGTTAAGACACCCAAGACTTGGTTGTCCATGCATATTGTGCAGATACACGTATATAATGGAAGCAGAAACTTCCCTACATTATTATTGTACTGTAGTTCAGCCCTGATCAAGACAGGTTATTTCCAGTATTTAGTCTCCATAAAAATTCTGTCTACAGGCTCAGCAGCATAGCTTAAAAAGTGCAGGTTTTGCAATAAAGACTCATTGTCCTCTGGGAAAGTTTAAAAATTCCCATTATAGATGCCACATACCTAATAAGATGATAACTTTCAGTTACTTCCAATCTTAGCCACACCTGAACCAGCTGCACAGCTAAAGATATGGAAGCTTTGAACTATGTAACAGCTCCTAGCCTTCTGCACCTCCTTCTTGAAGGCCAGGAAAAAGACAGAGAAAGGAGAAGTCAAAATAGAAAGATGTTCCCATACAATCTAGGGCAAGAGGAACTGACCTGTTACTTTTATTTATTTGTAACTGCCATAGTTAAATCCACCTAAAGTCAGCTCAATGACTGATAAAAGTCTGTGCAACTTCTATGTTACCAGGCACTACCTAAGGTAATGACCCATGCCATGCTTCATAAATACACACAGATAATTTGGTATGTATAATCTTTATGTAGTTCTGCCAGATTTCTGGGAAAATGTTTTTCTTCTTTCCAGCTGGTTTTCTGTGATTAACAAAACTAATAATATCATGCTTATTTTGCATCTCTGGTATTAATTTTACAGTACATTAAGGCATTTATTTATGGTCAAATCTAAGAATAGTTAATGTTGAATCTAACTGTCCCGTTGCTTATACTAGAAGCTTAAGGGGAACTCCCTCCCTTTCTTTTTCCATAGGTAGCACTTCCTTCTCATCTGCATCTCAATGAAAAAACAACAGCTTAAAAAATGAAAACAACCCATACTCCCACCAAACCCCTGCAAGAACAAGTTTGACTCAAGGTATTTTCACAAAAAAAACCTTGCAAAATAAACAGAATACTATCAGCAGTGAAATTAAGCATTTCAACATGTTTTTCAGCTGTTACATATATCATGTATATTCAACAGCTGTCTAAAGGAGCAGTACTCAGAGGAAAAAACCAAATAATTTCAGATGGATAATGAAATGGTAAGACTTTGATCTCCAGGTCACTGGTTCTAGCTAATCTTGATCTGAAAGTAGCTGCTCCTGACAGCTGTTTGAGGGCTTCTGGGATGGGATGCTGGTCTCCAAACAGTTCTTTTGCTCCCTCTGCTACAGACAACTCTCTGCTATAGGAACTGACACTCTTTTCAGCTGCCTTATCAGACAGGCAAAGACTAGATGGATATGAAAACTGAACTGGTTTCACTCTTTTGAGGAAGTCCTCGCTCAACAGGTCAACAAGGAATACTAGCCAGATCTTTACCACATCAGGATAGGACTGTCAGCATGCTGTATCAGATCCTTTTGAATAACAATCGCAACTGAATTTAGCATAGTTACTAACACCAACATTCCACCTCTTCAAGACATTCTGCTGGCTAAGCAACAAAAAAATATGCAACATGCAAAATTACCTGATACTTTTCAATTAGAGAGGTTAGCTTACAAGCACCTCTCTCTTACTTTTTTTTAACATGAAACAACTAACAATTTGCACATTTAGCATTTCAGAAAAGATGGTGAATACTTATTAAATTATAGCGATGATTACAATGGCCATAATAATTACGGGGGATGTAATTAGGTACTGAACTGTATGCACAAACTGGTATGTATCTTCATTATTCCAAGATATGTACACTTTAAGTTCACCCTGTACTCACAGATAAAACCAGTATGTGCAAACACTTTAAAGACTTATACGGTGTATTCAAGGCATATGATCGTCTTATTTAAAGCTGAAAAGAATATTCATTACTGGCCAGTTTTCAGACAAAACTGAATAGATACCATTTAAAAGGAGATAATTTAACTTTGAAACACACTAATGTTATATAGCAGAAATACTTGTTATGCAAAGGTAAGTAGATGAGCTACTGAAATTTCAACCCATGTTTCTGGTTGACTAATCTGTGAGAAAGTAAGATCTTGTGCTGCAGTACTGCATACTCTGAACACTGTACTTACTTTTTTTTTTTTTTTTAAGTTAGAAGTGGTAAACTGACTTACTGCCAGGAATTTTTTTGTTTCTACATAGGAGAGATAAAACACAATGCTGAGACTTCTTGGTATCATGACATAGTCAAAACAGAGGATCTGGTTTTGGATCAATTACACTTGAGAAAAAATGCCATCCATCTGCATCTAAAACACCATCTGACAATTAATATTATGTACATGATGATTCTGAGCCAAAACCATACATGTTCAATACTGAACAAACACAATAACCTTAGCACACTTTGTTGAGTGCATTGATTATATAATAAAAGTTTTATGATCCATAATGAGGATATAAAGGATTACTGTTGTTGCCAGCAAGGACAGTAGCTAACATTCCGTATGAGGAAGGTATTATATTTGAAATTAGGCAAAAAAATGTTGATTGTGCAGCCTCCCGCCTTTAAAACATAAAAAACTAACTATACCTTTACTTTGTACTTATAAGCTGCAAATTTATTTTCCTAGTTTTCTAACTGACCGTGCCACAGTATTCCAACTGAAATAATACTTAAATCTCAGATAAATGGCATTTTAAGCACAGTTTTCATCTGGGGAAGAGTGTTATTTTGTGAAAAGTATTAGAAAATAATACATCACAATAAGTTATTATTAGAGAGATATCCCACACACACTTTTTTTTTTTTTCAATAGTAACTCTTCCCCTGGTATTATGCAGCACTTCTGGTGCACCAGAAGACATGTCATTGTAACTCGGAAGGTTCTGCTTTCTGATGCCCATTCATCAGTGCTGTGGCAATTCATCAAAATGGCACTGCTTTCATAAACAACCACTGCAGAACTTCATCTGAAAGGCATTCCACATTCTTCAGTGGAGCAGTTCCTGATTTCTTTTCTCCTCAGGTTAAACTCATTTAAAAAAAACAACCCCATAGCGTTAAGAAGTATTTAAATTATCCAGAGTTACAGGGTAAAAAGAAATAATTAAACCTACTAAATCTGCACTGGAAGTCTGAAGCAACTCTAAAACTGACGAGCCTTCCGTAGCATAGTAAACTGAAATGATGATCCCAAAAAAGAAATATAATGGACATAAACGACCTGGCGACTCCTTTCAGTGAAAAGCCAGCTCACTCTATTCCCTTAATCCAAGAAAGGGCAATGAAGCTGCTGAAGGGTCTAGGGCACAAGTCTTATGAGGAGCAACTGAGGGAACTGGAGTTGTCCAGTCTGGAAAAAAGGAGGATCAAGGGAGACCTTATCACTCTCTACAACTACTTGAAAGGAGGTTGTAGTGAGGTGGGTGTTGGTCTCTTCCCCAAAGCAATAAGCGATAGGACGAGAAGAAATGTCCCCAAGTTGCACCAGGGGAGGTTTAGATTAGATATTAGAAAAAATTTCTTCACCAAAAGGGTTGTCAAGCATTGGAACAGGCTGCCTAGGGAAGTGGTTGAGTTACCCTGGAGGTCTTGAAAAGACGTGTAGATGTGGTGCTTAGGGACATGGTTTAGTGGCAGATGGGGCAATGGTAGGTTAACAGGTGGACTCAATGATCTTAAAGATCTTTTCCAGCCTAAATGATTCTATGATTCTGTGAATCCTGGAACTGCTATTAATTTGTCACCATCTGCATTTTCTTTATTAACGCATACAACTTAGCATTAAATGTAAAATCTACTGTTCAAAAGCACCGACTGCTCCTGAAAGTCTGCTTGCATTCTGGAGGAAAAGAAACACTTTGCAGAAATGCCCAGAGTGCCTCCAGAGAGCCGCCCACTAGATGTCACTGCGAGCACAACGTTAGTGCTGCAGAGCTCAGACACATTGCCAGCTCAAGACTAACTTAACAAAGCAACTAACCCTATTACCTTCTTTTTGCCTCTTCATATTGAAGACTTAGTCTGACCTTCTCTGCTAAATTTGATCTACTTCTTGCTCCAACCTGTTGAGAAAAAAGAAAATTATATTAGCCTTATTACTGTGTAAAGCTATTATATGAATCAATCAAACCTATGCGCAGGTTAGAAAAATTGCAACTTAAAAAAAGAAAACCACACCCACCAGCAGCCACAGATTTGCTGTTAAATGTCTAGTTAGGCATCTACTCAGATGTACAAAACAGTGCGGTTTTCTTCTGATCCAGTTCATCTATTTTTAACTACTGTACTACCAATTGTCCATATGCCATCAGAGAAAAGCAAGAGTATTTTCAAAGGAGTCTTGCAGTGACTGCACCCAAATTTTGATCTCCTACTTTGAATTCCACTGAACCCAGAATTCAGAACCAAGTCAGCACATTTCAAATTAAGACTTCAATAAACATGCTACAAAACATAGACAAGCTTAGCTGTTTGTTTGGAAAACATTGTACAGTCTCTTCCTTACAAACTTATCTCACAGAACTTCAAAGAAGGTAGCAAAATCAAGCACAGCTTTCTGTGTATGTAAATATACTGTCAGTGAAACAGAGGAGGTTTTAATGAATCACTGAACAAGTAGTTCCACTAATAGTTTTTCATCTTTGTGAAATGAAATTGCACATTTAAATTCCAAGGTCTTGTTTCTGAAAATTAAAACCATCTTCATATTGAATTGTCTGTAAGGTGAAACATACCCTGTAGACAGATCCAAAAGGTACTATCTACTTATGCTGATCTTCACTGTACTGGAACTATGTGATTATATCAAATTGTCATAAACACTTCATGCCAGATGTAGAAAGTTCATCTGAAACTTGATATAAAATTTAAGGGGGAAAAAAAAATCAGATAACTGACTCTAGGCAATTATCTTTTAAACATGTATATATATACACCTATCAGCAACAGTAAATAACTATTTGACTCCAATGCCATTAACCACAGCATTCTGATTCTATTTCTCTTTACACTTGACAAAATGGAAAAAAAGCTCACCTCACCAGAAATGTCAGTCTGAGACCCTGTATCCAGAGTTTGTCTAGAAAAACACAGCTGAGAGTTTACAGAGCTGGAACTCAAGTCTCTCTCAGATGTCCCAGTGGTCTCGTCAAGATTGAATTTCTCTCTCAGCTTTGCAAGACTCTGTCCAGGAAACAGAGAAGGAGGTGGCGTTAAAGTTCCTTTGTACTTTAATGTGTTTATAGCAGTTTATCTCCAAAAGATGTTTACGTAAAAGACTCCAATATAAAAATTCTGTGTTTACTTCATATTAAGCAAACTATCCTCTCAAGCAAGCAGCTGGTAGGTGACACTAAGGGTGACCAACACCTGTGACAATGTAAAAACTACTCATGTGGTTTTGTCTCTTTTTTTTTGTTTTGTTTTAATGTGTCAACCAATACTTGGCTAATTAAAAAAAAAGATCTGCTTTCAGAAAAGCAAATAGGGCAATTCAAATTTGGAAAACTTTCATGGAGTTAGAAAATGGCCAGGCATCTCAAACACATCTCTCAATTTTGTCCACTTAATATTTTAGACTGTGGTTTAGAAGTAACAGCTGCATTGTACCTTATATACAAGTTCAGAAATCTATATTCTCTGACTGACATATAGTGGATTTTTGAATCAGGAAAGTCACAGGCTTCAGTTTCTGCATCTGAAAATTGATTTTAATACTCGTTTGGCTCAAAGAGTTTTGAGAATCCCTTAAAAAAAGTATAAAATCCAAAGTACTTATAATCAGGAAAGTCACCCATGTTAAAACAAATCCACACAAAATTTACATCAACTATTCTAAATACCTTCATTAAATCTTGTTTTTCTCTCTCCCCGGAACTTATCGCCTTTCTGATGGCCTTCAGTTCACTCAGGATGGCTTTGGCCTCACATAATTCATACCCACTCTGGCCTCCAGACATTTTTTGGTCAATTCTGTGGAAAGAAGGAATATTAATACTGGATACAGAAAATAATACTAACATCTTTGCTGTTCTGCTTCAGGCAGAAGAATAGTTAGAGAACAGAAGGGAAGGAGATAAGAGACACCATTTCTGTAACAGACATGCAAAGAGGAAAAAGGACATTGAAGTTGCCATTTAAATACTTATTTAATCCTTGGCAAAAATATCAAGCTAACACATACACAGTGTTCAGTGGATGGATTTTGCTGACATCATGAAATTTCATGAAAAAATAATTCTGTTGGCTTATAAACCACATCAGCTAAACTACTGGGGCCTTATCAAAGGCAGAGACTCCACAAGAAATTCTAGTTGATCCAGTCTTGAAAGACATAAGGGGCACCGAGCACTACATCCTACACACGCTACCAGGAGTACACCAGTATTGCTGACAACTGTCAAAATTCCCATCCCCACCATAACTCTCTGCAGCATAGAAGCAGAGCTTTGGGTACACCTTTCATACTATTAACTGTTTGTGATCCTTACAGAACGAGAGTTTATTATTAGCAGTATCCCTCTACCCAGACTCATGTCATGACATGGGCAGACAGGCAAGCTTCTTGGTACTAATCAGCCTTGCAGAGAAGAAACATAACCAGCTCCACTCTTGTCTCAGCTTCCCTCTTGTTCACCCTAATCCTAGGCATTAACAGTCCAGAACAGCTGTTCTGCTCAGCCAGTCATCAGGCTCTCTTTATTCACAAAATCTCTGGATAATTAATACCATATGTCATACATCGGACAATGTATTAAATTCCTGGAATATCAACTATTTTTAACACTGTAACTTTTAAATAAGCTTATAAGCTTAGCGATAAAAAGATATTTCATTTTAGTATTTCCTTATTTACTTCAAGAAGTACAGTTTGTCAACACACTTCTCCAAGCTCTAGTTTGAGTATTCCACAGCATCATAGAAATGACTGCAGTCGTGCTTCACAAAATTAAAAACAACAGGCATCTTCACAGAAGTCAAGCATCTAGTAGAGAATACATTCTTTTGTAATGCAACTGGTTTTCTGTTTTTATCATCCATCATCTTTGCTAGAAGACATTAACCTTGTGAGTGCAGAATGAAAAAACATTGTAATGATCAGAAGTGATTTCGAGCATCCCTTGCAAGGACAGAAACTCTCAAGAAACACCTGTAACAGCATTCTACTTTACTTCCACTTTTGTGCACAAGGATACCAAGGTTTCAAAACGGTCTTTAAAGCTGTGGGCATGTCTGGTTTTGTTTCTCCACATTTCACTTTTTGTGCAAACTAGAACTGCATTTCTTTAAGAAAATTATTTATGTGACTCAGCACTCAGGTTCCCATTCAAGGACATATTTGTTTCAGCTTGAAAGTTCCTCAAAGTCTTTCCTAGGCAGACAGTTACTGTCTGACAACACTCAATTTTTGGTAACTTATCAGGTTGCTAAGGTCAGACAGACACAGGATATGCCAACAATTGCAATCATGAATGAACAGTTTGGTAATAAACCACATACTGCCTAGTAATATGATGTGCCACATTCAAATCACAACTACTTTATTCTGTATATAATTAAGATGGATAAGAAGGATTTCTGACATATAAGATATTCCATCTTCCTGTTTTAAATTAATGGGATTAGTACTGTTTGAAAGTGCCTGACTAAATTTTAAAAACAAACATCCATTGTGTTTCTGTGGAATGCTGTTGACAGTTTCTGAAACATGCTTTGGATTCCTATCAAAATGGCTTGTGAGCAAGCTGCTTTAAAACAATACTTCATTGTTGAATTAGTATAATAAAACCAGCATGACTGGCTAACCTTTAATCCTGGGATAGCAGCACGAGTTTTTATTACCTTAAGCTTTAGAATCAATAAGTCTTTCTTCTTCTAAATTTTGCTTCAGATGACATCTGATTTATGGTAAAATAAATTCAATCAACTATCCTTCTCTCCCTTCACTCCTCGCTATTCTTTATATATTTAAATAACAAACGAATCTCACATTTCTGTTTTAGTCAAAACGAAGGAAGATAGAGACTTGACGGGCATCCTCCTAAGGTGCTGAGGGTTTTCAGTTCCCAACGGACTTCAAACTCTTCATACCAGAAAAATATTTTCCCTCCATTTTGGCACGTTGCTAATTATGTTTGGCCATTTCCTGAACCAGAATTTTTTTCTCACACTTAAGATAATTCCTACTATATAGAATAGATCTATTAAAATACACAGGCATTAGCCTACAAGATGTTTTGGTTAGAACCGGGAACTGGACTCCATTCTCTCGGTCCTAAACACAGATGCCCTGTCATCCTTTGCAAATCACTTCTCTGCATTTTAGTACTCTACTTGGAAGACTGAAATGCACTTTCCTTCTCCCACCTTTTGCCCACCTTCCCTATACATTCTCCAAGCTCTGCAGGATAGAGATTATTACTTATCTGATAGTACACTGACGTACACAGGAGATCCTGAGAAAAAAGGTAAACGAATCCAGACAGTATTACATTAACACTGCAACATTGCTTCTTCTACTGAAACTAGTGTACTAAGAGCACACAGCTCAGCATTTTACTGTGTAGATGTATGGGTACATACCACAATATGAAAAACAACTAGTATTATTAAATTTCTGTTTGCATTAGTCAAGAAAACACACTTGTTAGCAAGGTTTCCTCTGCAGCAAGTTCTCTGTGATGACAGGTTCAGTAATCTTTAATATTTTAGGGCCCAACTTTGTAAGTCAGGAGCAGCAGGAGAATGCTCAGACTGAAAAAAATTAATTCCCTAATAATCCAACTGGTTAAATACCCAGAATGCTCACCTAGTTCAGTATCAGCCCTTTGGACACCAGGCATCCCAGCAACTGGAACAAAGAAAGTCAGGTCTCTAATCCTCAAATTGTGAATCGTTTCAAACCCTGCACAGTTGTGCACCATTTGTACTCCAAGAACAGAACCCACTCCTCTGTCTCTCTCGAGCTCAGAGGTGGGGAAGAAGGAAAGACAGACCTAATTAAGTTATCTATTTTTTTGTTTTAATTTTTTAAATGGGACACACAAAGCAGGTAAATTCTTCCTCAGGATGCTTAACTACTTTCCTTCTTTCTGCCTCTTTGCAAAACAAGCTACCTCATGCTAAAAAAATGAGAAGGGGGAATAGACGTTAACACTTGCACAACAGGTTTGCCATTTCTACAGATTTCCTGCTTCCTAACTGCAACAAAAATATTTATTAGATTCTCATTTTCTGCCCAATAATTCTCTCACATAGTATGGATTAAATTCCATGCCAAAAAAAGAACTCAGGCAACTGAATTAAGTCAGTTTCAACTATTTTCTTTTACTCACTGTTGCAGTGTTTCAAAGCCCTGTTCCTTGTACAGCAGCTCTTGCTTCATCTGAGAGAGCTCCCTCTTCAGCTTCTTAACCTTGTGTGTTAAATCAAAGCAAGAGTTAGAAAATTCATCTTGTTAAATGGTGCAACACATGGCTTTGAACAATTAATGTATTCTCCACAACAGATTAGACAAAAAAAAAGAGAGTAAATTGCTCTACTGACACATATTATAAACAAAAGGATCTTTTCTCTTCCTGATGTCTATGGGAAACGTGCTTTAGTATTGAAGGGACACAAGCAGATTAAATCACATTCCTTATTTGTATCGATACCACACTGTGTTATTAAACCTGAGAGAACTTTAATGTGTAATTTACTTCTCACTTGTTAAACATGCATTCCCACTGTCCTACAGGGACATGCCTGTTTATTTTTAGGCTTATTATATTTTCACTTTTTCATTCCAGGAAGCTCTCACGTAATTTGCACTGTAAAAGACAACAGTGCAGACTCTTTTTTTTTTTTTTTTTCCTTTTCCTTCTCCCATGAACCATCCTTTCTTATAAAGCTTTCCAGACACTGGATCCCTAAATACGTAATTCTCATTCATTTAATTCAAAGACGTCCATCACTAAACACATTTGGATCATAAATATATGTGTCTCTTTAAAAGAAATGTCTTTGGCAAAATATTGCCTACTTTCCCTAAATTTGCATGCTCAATTGCTTTTTAATCTTAATATTGCTATTTCAGATATTAGCAGATATGAGTACACTACAAAATATTTATGAATCAAGATTAAATTTTAAATCCTTCATTTAATTTTTGATGTCATACTTCCCAAACATGCTAAAACAAAGTTTCTGGACCACATAAAGAAGTGTAGTTTAATATAAATTAAAATTACTCCTCAGCATACACATAGAGACAGAAATGCCTCCTTGAAATGTGAAGTCCCAAATTTTGGTATTTATACGTCTATACCTGGCTCATTTGCACTCTACATACTAGCAGATAGAGTTAGGCTTTTAAACTTTCCAATCAGTAAGGTGAAAAAAAGAAAAGCCTGCTGGAGGTCCCCTGCTCTCACCTACCACTGGGAAATTCCTGCTTGTTTTCATATAGGTACTCAGATATTCAACTCTTTTGAAAAATGTATTATATTAAAATGAAGAATTTTGACCACTTTAAATGAAATTAATTTCAAAATATGTCTGCAAGACTTTTTGTATCCAAGTCCCTTTAGACTTCCTGCTTGGTGTTATTCTTCAAATTAAAAATAAAAAAAATAAATTAAAAAAAGTGAGATTCTCAACATGCCAGGTGACTGAAAGTACTGAGCATCAGCAACTGCTGTAGCTTTCCAAGAGCCTTAAAACGCTTTGTATGTCTAAAATAATCACGGATTTGCAGGGTCTTCATGCGGGTTTGTGAATGATACCTAGGCGTTCAAGTTTGTAGCTTCTGGCTAATGAATTTTCTGTGACAGAAATAAAATGCTTTCAAACTCTATTTTCTCCAAAGCAAAAATGCATTCTCTAGATGAGGGGTTAGGTCCAGGCTTTTGTAAATGATCATCACTTGTTGCTTTACTTGAAAGAAAACTGTTTTTATTTTGACCATACTGAAAAGTTAGCATGATAAATAGGCAATATCTCTAAGTACATATTCAGCACTCCTTAGCTATTTCTTCCCTGACTAGCACAGAAACCCCAGGAATAATCTCTCAAGTGTTCTGATCAAGGTTATAGAAAATGAACAGATATCACCACCTCTATGTTCCAGGTGAAGTCATGTGCAAAATATGAAAGAAGCCTCAACTTTTCTGAGAAACACAGAATGGTTAAACTTTTTTTTTTTTTTTTTTTTTGGGTAAATCAGAAATGTGAATTTATAGTAATAGCAGAAGGCACACTTGATTTTAACTTAGAGGATTGTACCTCTCGGAAACCCTTACATTTTTCCTCAAGATCATCTTCTGAGTGTCCTCTGATGCAATTCATCATCATTTCATTATCAAGAAATGTGAGTTAGGCACATTATCCTAGAAGGATGTGACCTACATCATAATATAGACTCTGTGTTTACTGCATCATACTTGCATTAAACTATTCTTGTGCTCCTTGTCTTCTCCTTCAAAACTCTCATATAATTCCTGCTTTTTCACAACTCTTCACTTGTTTTATCCTTCACCCCCTTCCTACTGCTTCTCCACATCATCTTAAGTCACTAGACAGGCCTCTCGCTTCTTCCTCCTAACTGCATCTTCAAGCAGGCTCCTGTGCTAACCCCCTTCTACTATTCCCAGCACTCGAGTAATAATGGAACAATGACAAGCCTCCCCTTGCCTTGTTATTTTATAAAGGTGCATCCTCTACTTGTTGCAGATGCATAAAACATACTGTGATCACATACGCTTTGTGTTGTTTGAATTATCTTACTGATTACTAATTAAAACCCAAAATGGCCCCACTCAAAGTCCGCTGCAGGATCAGATCCTTCAATTTTAATCTTGTGAGAAAGGTCTTTCTTCTGCTTATTTCATTTAACAGCCATCTGATTTCTGTCATATTTTCTCCATGACCTATTGTTTAATAGGCAATTCATGTATCCAAAAGGCTCCACATGCATATATTAAGCACAGCTAACACAGAAAAGACCAAAGGCCAATTCAGAACTTCCTCAAACGCTGAATTTTCCCCCTCCAGCCACCATTAACCTGATGATACCGGTAAGCCTCAGACAGTCATGACAGAGAGAAACAGGTTTAGTACAGCTGACCTAACAGTTCACTAAATGTGCAAATTCTAACCAGCTGGCTAGCAACTTACTAATGACTAACTTTGTTTACCATTAAGTCCACGCATGCATATACTGTAAAATGCCCAAAGGTGGCATATTAGCAAGCATCCTCAAACATTCAAATAAGGGTAAACTATGATAATAGTCATACCTCTCTTGCCATCTTCCATGAAAACCACTTTCCAGCCCTAGCATCACAGGGCTCCACTTTTTCTTATCTCAATGATTTTCATATCCAGTGGCTTTGGATGACAGCACACTTTATGCTGATACAGATATTCTTGGACTGCACCCTTCTAAACTCTGCAGACAAGATTCTGGTCACCTATTTTAGGCACACACGCAACTTGGACTTTTCAATGCCAATAAATCAGGTGTTGGGAACCAGCAGCATATTAGGCTCCTTGACTCCAAGAAACAATGAAGAGAAGAAAGCACCTCAAAAAAATGAATTACTGTGATTAACACATCTGCCTCTCTCTTCAGTGAACAGACAAATTGTAGACCTGCAGCCAAGAGGTGATTCAGTGCTTCTGTGTCTTGAGCTGGGAGGTGATCAGAGCTAAGTTAACAGGAAAAACTGAGCACAGGACCATGTCTGAATTTTTCACAATTTGACTTGTAGGTGACTATATTTAAATTTGGTTATGTGTTTTGTTCTTCAACAACATCGTTCATCTCCTAAATATAACAGTGATCCCCTTGCCAGAGGAACATCTGTTACCGCTCCACTCACTTTAGGAAGAAGCTCTCGCCTTGTCTTTTTGTTCTTGTTCCAGACAGGGTCCTTAGTGCTGTTGATTCTCCCTACTAAATTTACAATTTTTTTTCTCCCACTTCCTCCAATGCTGAAATAAGTTCTCTTGCTAACCACCTTCCCTTCTCCTTAAAGGATAAGGGACTACAAATTGAGACTGGTAAGGATGAACAGGTGTACAAGCAATCAGAAGAGCAACATCCAGACACCAGTTTTACAGTGTATTTCATCCCTGATTTATACTGGGTATTAAAATTTTAATGAGCTATCCCATAGTTCCTTTTAAACATTAATTGTTTAGACTCCTAATCATAACTCTCACTCCAGGTGAAGGAGACTGTTAGTCTCCGAGGCTTCTATGAGTGCTGCTCTGTGCAGAAACCAGGAGGGGGCAATGGAAGAGCTGAGCAACTGCTGCCACTTGCGCTGCCTCTGCTCACGCAGAGAATGTATTCCAACCCACACAGAAGGACTATGCTGTGACGCGCAGTCTTTTTAACCTGAATGGTTTGATTATTTTTTTTATTACTAACTACAGAAAGCCCAGGCCATCCATCGAGCATTATATGCCACTGCTTAATTAAATGAACTCCTTATATAGATTTTAAATTTCTTCCATGCCATTTCCTCCTTATTCAAGATAAATTCACTAGAGACTAACCTGCGAATGAATGTTCTTTATATGGAGTCTGTTATTGATCATTCTGAACACAGTTGACCAAAAAATGAATTTTTGTTCATTAGCAATTTCAAAATGTGAACACAAACTTTCATTCTTGATCTGAACTGTTTTACATTTTGACAAAACAGATCAAAGTTTCACACCATTATTGAAAAGTAAACCAACAGAAAGTTGTGAGGCATTTCATGTAGCTAGTGGTGCTTTTCTCACAGAAGAAAGATTGTGTAAAAACATTCATCTAGCTGCACCTCACCTTGGCCTACTACTTTTCTATTTTCACCTAAAGATTTTTACTCTTCCTTTTAAAAATAAAAGGATACAAGTGAAAATGGTTATCAGATGTATTTAAACCCATATCTAATTAAAATATCTGCCAAAGTTTCCTCAAAATGTGTTATCTGAAAGTAACAGAGACAGCTTTAAAAATTCATTTAAAACATCTGAATGGTATTTAATGAGAATATTAGGAGGTCTCAGTACCAGTGTAAAAGATACATCTGCTAGTTCAAGCTTTCCTTATTCTATAGTCATGAATTTTGCACACAGAATACAAATTAATATGAGTTAAGCACTCTCACCCTTAATCTTGTAGTGGAGATTTCAGCCTTCAGAATGTCAGGGTCATACTTTGTGCTTGATGAGGAGCCTGAGAACACTTTTTTAAAAGAACAAAAAAGGACAAATATTTAAGTACTTTTAAATCATTAATCAGTCACTTCCTCAATGAATCCACACTGATCTAAAACTACAAAGTGCACAAAAGCATATAATACTTTTTAAAAAATATAGCCTTTTATAGACTAGTCAGCATAGCAGAACGGCACCAACTGATGAATAATAAAAATTTTCCCCTTTTCTCTTCTACCACTACTTGGTATCTCTCCTCCTTTGCCTATCCCAAGATCCTAAAGTACCACCTCATTCTCCCTGGCTTTCTATCCCTTGCTTTCTGTTTCCATTCTTCTAGCTGAGCCATCTTGCGATCACCTCTTCCTGGAAGTTGTAGTTTCTAAGGACATTTCTGGAAAGCAGAAGATTTCTTCAGAAGCCTCAGAGGTCTGCCACTCAGTACTTCCGCAGCTGTACATGTTGATTTTATCGCACTATCTACTTCTAAGAGAGATGTTTGGCCAATGACAGGCTTCTGACAGCATTTTACTGCATGCCAATTCCTTGCCCAACATTGTAAAACGTATCTCTACTTCACCCCTCATCACAGCACACAGGCTAAAAATTATTGCATGCTAGTCTTATAAAGCAGCAACAAATTCCGTTCTTGGTCTATGGCAGACAGATGTCAACACAGTAGGGTCATTTCAATATGCAGCCGCAAGAGATCCTATTTACTTTGAACCCAGATTTGGCAGAATTTTGTTCTGACAAACCGCATGACAAAATAGATTTCAGAGTCAAGTGCTCTAAACCACAGCTCAAAGGAGTTCAATTGTATCAGAGGGAAGAAGGTTCTCTCCAGCAGAATATCTTTATATTAAATAAAATAAAATTAAAAAGTAGGTATGCTATTCCTAAAAAAGCCAGAGTACAACGTGTTCATAGCAAACCCTGAAAACTCATCGTAAAGAGAAATAAGATCCCCTGTAAGGTACAGATCAAAGAAGTTACACTGTATTCTCTACCATACTTACAGCTTGTACGAGAGCTTGATTTTTCTCTGTAGGCATCATTCAACCGTACATACTCATCCATGGCAAGTGCTAGCCTCTGTTCTTTCACCTGGTACAGTTCTTTCTGAGTACTGAGAGCATCCTGGGCTATCATAAGATAATCTTTTAACATTCTCTCTTGTTCTTGCCTCCATTGTTTCCTGGGATCTTCTATTTGTGTTGTTTCTTTATAGAAGAAAAACAAAGGATTTAAAGAGACCTTTGCTGAAATCCATTGACAACTAAATTGTTTCTTTGCCTGTAATTCACAGTTCTAAAAGTGTAAGCCATAGCTTGTCTTTGGTTACTAAGCAGACAGTCAATTTTATTTAGTTTTTCTTTGCCACAATAGTGCATGTAAGAAGCAGTATTTCAGGGATCAATTGCAAAATTAGGAATTAGGGTACAATAGGTAAATGCTTTTATAAATCATTCCCATGTCTTCAATCTTGAATTAATAACATCCTAAAACTCAAGAAAAAAAAAAACCTATTTTTTGCATCAGAGTATTCGGAAATAATTGGATCAATGAAGTCTTTCAATGACATCTTAAAACTGAATGCATTTCTGAACAAAAATGAAAAGTAATCTGAGCTATTACATTTTTTCAATCCCCCTCCTCCCCACTTCATTAATTTTTACAGCCATATGCTATTCATATTTTATAGTGGTTATCTCTCTCCTTTCCCTCTGGAAAAACAGTTTTATCTTTTCCCCTGTAACTGAACTAACAGAACCTTAACTCTCCAGATCATCTCACCTAACTTCATCCCTGTCCCAACTTTCTTTTATGGTCAAGAGACAAACAGGGCCACCCTCAGAGGGAACCTCACTCCATGGAAGACAGGCGCGGAGATACATGGAGCCGAACAGCCTTTTTGAGGTGTCTACTTCTTTCCACTGACTACTCAGGTAACATAAAAGAGCAGGCTGGAACAGGCCCTTAATTCATGAAGGGCTTCAGGTCAACCATTTTAACTCCAGCAGCCACACAGAAAACAGACTGGCACAGAATGTGTAGACAAGAGGATTAGACATAATGTAGTGGTATATGTTAAGAAGCATGTGATGAGATAAATCTGATTGTAGGTTTTAAGATTTTTTAAGGGTTTTCTTTAATGTAAACATACAAAGAGGAAGAGTTAAGGCTGACTGTTCAATCTTATCATTAATATTTCCTGACTCAGTTCAGCACTTTTTGAAGCTGTACAATTAATATTCTTCCTTGAAAGCTGTACAAAGTACAAAAACATTCTCATAAGACATAGCCATGAAAAGTTTGAAATCTGAATGCAAATATGCACCACACTGCATTTTCTTTGTAAGTTACGTAGTGTAAATCTACATAGATCTACTGAGAAAAAAAGTAACATTCAGTAACAAAGTATTTAAGTGCAAAGTATTTACTTCAGAATTTTTCTACAAAAAGCAGGAGGAAAGTTCATTCTCTGGGTTATATTTCTGCCACTTTAGTTCTCTGAATTATTTTACTGTGAGAACCAATGCAAGGGAGGAGAGGGGACCCAGGAACACGTGGCTGAACACATGGGGGAAAAAAAGAACTGGCACAGAACGAACCTGACTGCTCTGAACTGTACCTGAAGCACCCTCTTGGGAAGAAAGCACTCTTTCAACTCCATATATGAAAACAGATCTTGTAACAGCAAAAGCGGATAATGACAGGTTCTGGTTAATAATGATTTTCCATACTGACTACCAGTTATTCAAAAGTCTTTTTTGCTGTTAGTATCACATAAAACAAAAGATGTGCAAATAAAAAGATGCATCCCATAAAACTAAACCTGTAGAAATGTGAACTTACAATGTCTATGGAACTACTGATGCTTTCAAAAACAAGTAAATACACATACACACACATGCCCTCCATGCTGGTGACCCCCTCCACCATTTACAAACATGACAAGATTTTGTATTTCTACTTGGGAAAGGCATTTTCTAGATGTACACAACAGATGCATAGAGAGTATAAATCACATAAATCCAAGTGTGGTACACAAAAGATTAAAGCACAGAAGCTTTATACACAGTTGGTTTTCCAATAACCTCAACAGGAACACTCTCTCCAAAAAACTAACTATAGCTATGCACACACACACATCCACATTTATAGCCACCTGCTCTTTTCCACAAAGATACCAGGCACACAGAGAAGCAAATTTATACCTTTTCTCTCCTAAATGGGCAACACATGTCCCTATCTGTGGCCACTTACTGCTGTTGTGCTTTAACACACTGCCACATTCACAGTTCTTTACATAAGAAGTGCTCGTTTTCAGAAGTGTCTTTTTTTTGTGAAGCAGGATGAAGAGCATGAAGCAGGTTTCTCATGGGTCAATGATCAAATAGGATAAATGCAGTTATGTTGGTTTTTTAGAAGAACGTAATGATGTGATTGTGTTTTAAGAGCGCAACCAGCAGCCACAAGATTGTAAGGTCTCATCTTCGAACATGCTGTAGGTAATTGCCTTGACGGCTTTAAGGGAGGATTGCTCAACGTGCAGCCCAAAGACCAAATGTAGCCTGCAGAGTCCTAAAATGTGGCCTACAGATACCCTGTCCTTGTGACTGCAAGAGAAGGACAAAGCTGATCAACAACAGATTATTTTGGATTGCTGACAAATACAATCAAACATTTTCTTTTTGCCTCTCCAAGCATCTGTAAAACAATACTATGATTATATGAGCTCACACCTTTTACACTGAGAGTCATAAACAAGTTAAAGGTGACCCTGCATTTTAAGAATTGTACACTGTCACTTCAGCACACTGAGGTCTGGGTATTTGCATGTGTAGGTAGATTGTCTGGTCAAATTATTCTCAGCCAATTCTATCTGCATGTATTTTATTCCAGAACTTAACACTCAGTCGTCAAAATACATAATCCTGGAAAAATCAAAGCAGTACTGGAATGACTATCCCAGAATCGTTACTCAACTTTTACCAAGCAAAGAAGGCTCTGGCGTATTTTCCACTCCAGGTCTTCTTAAATATTATGAAGTAGAAAACCCAAAAAAACATATCACTTGCTTGGCAAATTGTTCATATATATATATGTGTGTGTGTGTGTGTGTAAACGCGTGCCTGTGTAGCAGCACCATATGCTTGTTCATGTATAATTTTCAGTTGTCTCAGTTTTAATCAGTAGGTTCACCCCACAAAGAAAAAAAGACAGAACTATGGATAATATTTCTGGTACTGTAGTGCTGCATTTTGAAAAGTATGTTCATTTGAGCACATGTACATTCCAAGAGCCAATAACATTTTTTAAAAAGGAAAATTATTTCAAAAACAAATATTTATACTTCTCAGAGTAAAGCCTCACAAAGATAAAGATTTTTCCTTGGACAAGAATGTTTAAACACCTGCTGTTAAGGTCAAACTTGTATATACAAGAATATTATTGGGATAGTTACATTCATGTCATCGAGGGAACAGCTTGCTGAACATTTCAAAATGAGATGTGAAGCCCTTCATGCTTAAACCAAAGAGTGAGATTTAAACCACAAAGAACATCCAGACATTTTCCTACCCTTATTACACAACAGCTGATGTAAAATAAACTTGGGCAATTTCATTCCTTTTTTAGGGCAGATAAATGTTTCCACTGGTGACTGTAACAGGATGCCTTACAACCTTGTCTGCAGCAGATACGAATAATCCAACAGATTGCAAACTGGACAAATGGGGAGATGTTATTTCTGCTGGTCAGGTGAGGAGTAAGCGCTGGTTGTGAACAGGAGACAGAGCTGTAAGGTTGTATACATTCTAGAAAACACTAACTGGTCTTCAGTCATCAGCAGTGGAGAACAAACCAACCACTCCCTGAGCATGACCTCTCCAATACTTTCTGCATCACCAGATAGTTAAATGCAAGAGCTCAGCTTTTTCTTGTAGAGAAAACGAAGGAGATATACTGGCCATCATTTTCCATGGCATCAACTTAGTCACAAACTAAAGATATCTCCTTAAAATGGATCTTTAAACAACTATGAGTTGTACCTCAGGCTCTATCAAGAGCACTGCTTAGATTTAAAAAAACTTTGTAAATCAACTTCCTCTGTCCAATCACAATGATCCGTAGTAACAGAATGTGGCAGATGGTGGTGCATCTAATATTCAGGTTACACATTCCTAATTTGACTTGGTTTTAGTATCATTTGGCAAAGCCACCTGCAGATCAAAATTACTCAATTCTGTTAAGAAATCTTGATTTAAAACCAATTCATTTAACTTTAAACAAATTTCTGCAAGTGCGTAGCTAATAAATTTATAAAAAATTATAAACAAGCAATTTATTTCCTCCTCTTTTTAAAGATCTGAGTGACCACCCATGCTGGGGGGAAATTCTGTGAGACAGAAAATCCTTGAGGTCTCTCCCAGCAGAACTGCACAAGTAGTGGGATGGCACGCTCCACCCAAGGACACTCCCGTGCAGTGAAATGATCGCAGCCCTGTAATGTAGAAAAGCAAGCTGCGCTGGCTTTAAACATAGTGCTATTCATGAAATGCACTCTTCCTGTCCAGCAAGGTTTGATGCACTTAAACTCAGTAAAGAAACTGGCCCAAACAGTAATTCAAGACCTAAATGCCAGGACTGACTTTGTGCCTTGAAAGTTTTGTTTGTTCCTTTGGCTAGAACTTGCTTCAAGGGCAGCAAAATTATGCATGCTCTGTGAAATTATACATAAGATACGTATTAAGCATAGGATACAGGCGATAGTCAGGCATGCCATTTTTTTTAAATGAGGTATATGTTATGTTCCCGTCTGCTATCAAGCTCTGCCAAATTTTTCCAGTCTACTTGAACAGAAGGAAACGATTACCTTATCAGCAGTAGATCATATTTCCCCAAAATACATGAAATTAAAATCCCACTAGAAAATCCCAAGGGAAGGGAACAGCTCCCTGACACCCTACTGCTAGACATAAGAGAATTGGACATTTTACTAGAGGATTAACAATAGGTGGAAGCAATAGTTTTCCAACATCTCACCTTGCCAAACAAAATAATAGTGTCAATTGGCTCTAGAACGACCCACATGTAAGCTGCCTTCAGTGAGACACGTTGCATTTAGGCAACACAGAGAACAAGTACTCTCAAGGGGTACCTCTAAAAAAAAAATGCGAGAGCTGCCAGATTGCTACTTGAGAGGGAGATAC